ATATGGAAACATATTTGTATTGTATTCTCGCAAATGAATTACATTCCTGTAATAAAGCATTGTCAACGCGAAACGATGTTGTTGATCTTAATAACTTGGTAAAAAAGCTAAGAACAATCCTCCCACACGGCTGCAGAAGCAAAGATTGTAGAAAGCTGTGACGGTCACTGCAGGCACTGTTTTCGGTAGTATTCTTTGTGCTCCACAATTGTTGTCTCCTTTGTACAGAGTGCAGAGAATTACCTTCCGTTGGGACAATTTCACAAAAAATAAAAGCTATGTAATTTGTGCTTCTTCGATCGTTTGGATGGATATAACCAGCATATCCAGGGCAGAAATATGTGACACTTGTTTTGGTATCGTAACGATCACTCACTCTTTGGAACAGCCAAGCTGGCAACGTTAATGAAGAGTGCGTCGCAATATTGCATCAACACCGAGAAAAAACAGCTATAATTCTAAACGAATTTACCACTGATGCGCTTGATTAGAAAAAAATAATCCTGAAAAATTATTTTCCCACGAAGGTAGCAAACTTTATGAAATGGGTCGTCTTTATGAGAAACGGTACTACATATTCGTTCATTATACTGGAAAAGTCCTTTACGGGGTAACACCACATTGAATGTACTATTTACATATTCGTCAACAGTTCGGATCGGTTCGTGCTCGAGCAGTCTTGAGGCAGAGATGTTATAAACCATTCGTTCATTATAATCGAAATAATGTGTGCAATAAAGCTCCAGACGAAAATTGGGTTTTCACTGAGAGAAAAATTTGCATACATATTTATTTTGTATGCCTATTGTTGATTTTCACTCGATTTCATTTTTAATATAATTACTAATTTACTAAAGATATCAGGCTGTTCAACAGCTGACACCATCCTCACTTCCAGTTTTCGTTTACTTTAGTCAAACCGATAATCATACATTTCGTTGATATAAGCCCCGACTCTGTCTCGAGGAATTATTCGTAGTTCGCTTCCATGTTTCATGAAAACCGTACCTATAACATTTAGATTGTAATTGAAGCAAATAATACAATAGCTTTCAAATATAATAAGACGAGAGCAGTTACTTATATCAGCGCGGTTAATTTTTCCCAGCTTAGCTTTTTATTGCTAACTGAACAATAACAACGATAAATGATCTGTTGTAATCGAGATGTTAGATTTATAAATATATTATTTGCATTAGTCGTTTAAAGTCATCTATGTGGTTCTTATGATGGGCCATATGATTATACCACATAATTGCGGACTACAATTTACGAGATTTTTTAAAACGATACCCGAGTGGTCTTGTACGATAGGAGATAGCTGCTCTAACGAACTCGTTATTCGAGCATAATGAGAGTTAAATCTAAGGACCATCTAAGGAATGACTCTTTCAAGCACAACTGATTTTGGTGAATGTGGACAACCTAGCCAAACATCAATCATTTCCCCCAACAAAAGAGCATTTCCTGTCAGGGCCAACACATGGCAGACGTAAACCACGAGACCAGCATGCAATATGGACGAACAAGATTGAGGCAGAGCTGCCCTTGGAGAAGAACAGTTCCTTCTGCGATGTCGTAATCGATGTCCAGTAGCAAAAGTGCTATATAGCTTGGAGTACAGTTCGTATCACAAACCAAAGACTTATGGGTTTATGCAATGGGCTCCAGGCGATGAAGATCTCAACATATACAGATACACAACCAATTCAACTGACTTACCGGCGTTCTGATTAGGATTGATGCCTACTCCGTCGTCCGTGATGATCGCACTGGTTTCAGGTGGAACTTTGAACTAAAATTACGAACGCCGTGGAGTGAAATTAACAAGACAAAACAGGCCAAAATGTTTAAAAAAACAAAACTCACTTCTTCTGCAACAAACTTCAAAACTGCCGTAAAAGGAGCGGCTTCAGGCACGCTTAAGCTAAAAAAAGTAAATGAAGCAAATTTAATGCGAATTACTGACAAAACATTTTAGGGGAATGACTACAACCACTTCGCTCTCAATGGTTCGAAAATTTTCAAGTCTACAATAGTCAAAATATATGAAAGCTCTGAAACTTTGCAGAAGTTTAGTGGGCGTTTACTGTTGCATGTACGTGCTGCAGAAAATCAACACTATTCAGAGGTAGGCTGATGAGAAAGATCACGCCATCCTGAAAATTTTTCATCCAGGCCATCCTTTAGATTGACCTTTAGAAGCAGGGAAGGCTGTTCATATCACAAGAATGTCTGCGCTGGGGTAAGCACTAGTCAATTAGTTCTTCGTTTAACCACGAAACAACGTAAACCGCCAGAAGATGTCTTCATACCTTGTTTTGTCATCTAAATAATGATACTGCATTACACTAGTTTAATAAGTCGCCTGATCGGTTACACATGCACCAGTGCGTTCGATATTGCATTACAATACATATTTCAATAACAACAGAAATCTCAATTTGTTGCCTTGTGAAAAACAGCCATGTCTTTTTGTATGGACATAGAAAAACAGACGATCCACTGCATAGCAAAGATATCATATGAAGGACGCTACGACTCCTTTTCAAGAGTCTTCTTTTAAAATAGCCACTTTACTCTTTTCACGTCGGCAAAGTGGATCCCTTTTGTTCTACAATGGAAGCCATCAACGTGACAAAGAAAAATAGGGGTATTTCACTGTTTTTAGCTGGCCCACATCCATAACGATGTCATTCCATCGTCGTTAATTCATGGCATATGTATATGTAATATCATGTCATATATGTACTCGGATTAGTGGGGATCACTACAGTCGAAGAAAGAATAAGTCAGGGATTTCTTGAACGGATCTAGGCTTTCGTTTGAAACATCCCGTCTGATTCACGATTCAATCCACTGGGTGTCATGTCCTTTTTTCGGCAACCATAAATCTTAACTGGTTAATAGTTATTACTCATAATTAATACTCATATAGCAACATTACAACTTTGAATCTGAATTCGGCAATGATTTTTTTATTCAGAAGAAGACATGTTGCAGAATGCCACAAGCAACAAACAGCGCGGAAAAAGTTAAACTGCATATATCTGACTCCCAGAAAATGAACTTTCGGATCATGCCCATCCCGGAAACACAGAGAGAAAAATTCTCAAGACGGACTGAGCTCAACAAGAAAGATAGTCTTTGACGATAAAATTATTGTTGTTAATCTGTTTCTGCAAGTCTGAATGATATCATTACTATCTATCGATACTGATTATCCAAATTCATAACTCAACTGAATGACACTGCCGAAAGAAACTCTTTTACTAAACAGAATCAGAAGCCCCCCCGCTCCGGTTTATAAAATTCAGCCAACAGTATTACACTTTGAAAGGTAACGTCGGATCGCTAGTGAGCGTAATCTTGAACGTTACTTTCGTGGCGGAGTCTTTAGCCTGCGTGGTGGCCATCGTTTCGGAAACAAAACGTTTCGCCGCAGCTGACCGAAGTGACCACAAGTGATCACTAACACTAAAAGCATAACTATAAAAATGAACATAAAAAACTATGCATAAATCTCGTAAATCCTGGGAGAATAACAGTGGCGAGCCCCGGAAATTCTGTTAGTATCTTCACAGTAGGTAGTAACAGATTGAACCGGACGCAACGACTGGATGCATCGTCTAACTCAACTTTTAAAGAGATCACTTTTCTAACATAATTCAACAGCAGTAGCAACAGAGTC